AATTTAAATGGCAGTGTTTTGATTCCGGTTCACTGGCATTACCTGTGTTGTATGTAGGGCTTTGGTGCAGCTTGTCAAACATTTAGCGCACGTATAAAACTAAAGTTCCGATCGAAAGTAACCATTGGATAGGACCAGCCCTGTGCGTTATGGAGTTAATTGTTATCGACGTAATGCACTTTCGGTATTCAGTGTTAAACACTTATCAGATTTGGATCCTCTTCAGATGGGGTTTCAACATCAGGACAGGTTCCGTAAATATACTAATGTGGATGCGGTCGCATATTGGTTGATATCATGAGAAATACTTGGAAACTTTGTCGGATATTTCTTCCAAAAACCACGTGCTGTTTATGCTCGACAGCTGAGAATCATTATCTAACCGTTTCATTCTTACTGTGAATCATTACCAGTACGCCTCTCACAAAATTTCAGGCAGTTTCAAACGGAAACAGTAACGGCACTGCTGGTGGCTTCATCACTTAACAGTTTGGCCAACCATCGACATGGCTGGCTCTCTCCGACGAAGGGCTAAGCGCCACGGCTACCGACAATGAGATGGGAAAGGAAAACTCTCTCATGCACCTCCTTTATGAAAAACAGAATATACTTTTTCCTCTTGAACGCATCCTCTCGAACTTCCCTAGAAATTCACTGACTACCACGCGATCGCAAACGAATTCCGTAAATCAGGTCAACAAATTCCATCATAAACCGTCTTCCACTAGATCAAACTTCAGTTGCAAGAGTACAACATACTGTTCGCATTATCCTATCAGCATTATACACCGTTACGCATTTTCCCAATTTGAATGTCGCTTGCATATTACCGATTTACATTTACCTTAGTTAGGTTAGCCCTCTCCAAATGTATCACGTTTATTCCGGGGTTAGGCACTTAACTCTTTCCGGCCGCCGGCTTTCTTGAATTTTGAAGGCGTTCGCCAAGCGATCGTTAACGTAAAACGCACCCTGCCAGCGGCGGCCCGTTTCCTCGATTTCAGTCCACGCATTTCAGAATTCTGATGAATCTTCCACCTCACCTTGGTAACGCTTCTGAAATTTCCAAATTTGTGGAGCAGTAATGACGTACTTGTCATTGCAGTCCCTAATCGTTTTGTCTGAGTAATCAGTCTGACACTGGAGATTTCGTCCGAGTCCTAATCTGGAATGCTCGTCACCTAGTGGTACATCAAAAGAAAAATAGTATTTAAAAATCCCGGGGATAATTTCAAAGGAGTCTGCGACAAACAACTGGTGTAGGATGAACTACTTAATAGTGATTTGTTTCCTAATTGCCTCGGTTGTCTTATATCTCCACACCCGGCCAACGCAATAAGAACATCTTCACATTCAGTGCAATAAAGGAAAGCAAAAAGAGCAACTTAAAGAAGGGTATAAAACATGCCGTACTGGTTCATAAGAGGGTTAAATAGACAACATCATTACCAGACCTACACGTATTGTCATTCATCTAAATACGTTGATAAATTCACACATCTTTCGTTCCTGACAGCATAAATTAAAGGAAAAGGGAGCACCTCCCAATATAGTACTTTGTCAAAGCAACCCAACCGAAAGCCTGCCTCGGCTGATTTCTTTTGTGTGCAGCCAAGCAAACCAGATTAAAATGGGGTGTTTCCCGGATTGCTTGCCTCTGATGTTTCGCTTGTAAACCGCGCGATAACAGTTAATCCTCCGGTGCAACACATTCCTTACAAAAGAAAACTTGTTAACAGTTAAATAGCTGACTTCGCCAGACTAAAAATTACAGGGGAGAATAATTTGTTGTCTTCAGGTTATTTGTCGCCAGTGTCGAGCAGTCGGTAGAAACAACTAGCGAATGACGATGTATTTCGCGCTGGTATTATAAAGTGATCAGCCACTATATGTTACCTCGCGCCAAACAGTATTTAGTCTACATTTCACACAAAAATTTACATCGCAGTCTGTAGGTTGACATGTCTAGTCAACCGCGGAATGACTGTCCAGTACAAAGTGATTTTGTACGCTGGTCCCAAGAACACATCTGTGGAACGTGTAAAAAACTGTGAATCCATATCTACTGGATGGGGTTGATTCGCCTCTGACTTTTCCGTCTGCGTTTTCCCATCAATCGTAAGCTTTAATTGACATCACGTCGTACGCTATTCTGATGAAACACAGAAGGGAGAGACTGGTAATGCAGCAATCTTTTGTATAGACGTTTGTTTCAAGAACAGTCGTGGGGCTTTTTTCCTGTATGGACCATGTGGCCATCCGGCCTGTTTTGTCGCCGTTTTACTGGTCAGTTCCTAATCAGGTATTCTTCCTTCCATGTTACTTGGTTTCGACTGTATTTAACTTTCTGTGTGGTAACGCGCATGCGAGGCATCCAAATCTACTTCTTTGGAGTGACTTGATAATGGTGCGAGAAAGAAGTTGGTCGTGTCTCACGCACATAAACATAGACAAGTTGATGAATATAAAACAACAACAAGAGTACAGCTGCGGAAACGGACGGTTTCAAGTGACTTCTTGCCTGTCTGATGGTCAGAATAACGGACATCGTTTCAAGGGCTTTAGCTAAATATCCTATGAGGTTGCAATGGACGGTATGAGAACTTATTCAAGGTTAACAAAGATTAGTTAGGCAATATGTCTCTGCTGCGGCCAGGGTTAATACTGAGTGGAAATAGAGTGAAAAACACGAAGAGATAAACTGAAATTTCAGCAGTGTGTTTGAGTCACGCAGATGAACACCCTGTTTGTGTCAACTGACTGGCCAATGTTTATTTGTACAATAAATCTGATGTGCAATGGTACGTCAGATTTGTCAAGCATCCTGATGCGTCCACGGAGCCTGAAAATCCGGACGGTCTTTCTCCTTTATTCCTCCGAGTTTCACCGAACGATCTCTGAGCCCCTAGTTTGTCGAAAAACCACCGCATGTCTGGCTAAGATAGAAGAACCCAATATGGATAATTTGCCATTCAGTTTCTTTGGCAAGAAATTAACAAACGTTAACGCGTACATCAGACGCAGCTATTTTAAGTAGACTCAATGAAGGTTTAGGCCTTGTATCCGTCATTGCACAGCCCAATTAAATGGGCTGTACAGAGCTACCTCAGGGACCTGAAGACAGATAAATAACGGTAACTCAGCTTTGAAGTCAGTCCAGGCATGCAAACAAACGTTTCACCAACAGTGAGACCAAGGATCGAACATGTTCAATACAGGTTGCGACCGATGCTTATGACTGCTATCAAAGGAGCAGGAAAGTTAGCTGACACCATATTCACTCTAACGTACACCAACAAAATTCAGCAGTACTGTGAAAAAGTGCCAACTGTGCCTAACAGTGTGGATGCATCACGGCAGTGATGCACACTGCCGTTCGAGCTGATAATGGATCCGCGAATAAAAAAGGTATGTATGAGGTGTTGGTAACTATCTGGATAGCTGAGTTTTTGACATTTCGAAGCGTATTGATATAAACTTCTTTGAAGCTACGAGATAACACGCAAAAATTTTTCAACTACATAGCAGATAAGTGAAACAGCCTGTAAAATAAGATAAGAAACACGCAGAACTACTACCGGCTTCGCCCATCTTTGGGCTCAAATGGTGATCGCAGAGTCCGAATTTCCGTCAATCTTATGTTTTATTTGACCAATGCTCCCGCTTGAATGTGAATTTGGCTTTGACAGGAGATACAAATTAATCCAGCTGAAACTTGCCGATGTTGGTTTGCTTCAACTGTACGCTCAGTTCGATTAGTAGGTTGACGGAAATTCATGAGGTCGGCCAACATCATAAGCCACAAGGTAGTTAGAACTGGTCGTGAGCAGACAAAACCTTTTCAGCAACAGTATGATTAGTCCGATTAATGTTGTTAATCCTGCTGTGTTGATAATGATGTATTTGAAATTGTGACATGATAGGATAGGGCATGATAAGATAGGATACAAATTGGTTGAATACAATTTGTTTATGACGGCAGGTACAAATGAATCTACTTTAATCTCACCATTGATTGTTGGCTTCCAGTGGATGCTCAACTGGAAAACTAGATCGAGGGAAACTGGAGAGGCGGCATATCTGATTACCCAAAAAGGACTTGACTGGTCGTCAGTTCATTAAAAGCCTTCAGCATCCATATGAGTGGCACAGTTTATGATGCTAATTCTGCAGCGCGGATACTGGGGTGTTTAAAACAGTGACGATCGTCCATGGTAAGATGGATTTAGCTTGCAACAGCTATCGATTGTGAATGTGGAGGAAGAGAAGTCAATCGAGCATGTTTTACGAATTTCGGAATCCGTCGGGTTACTTGGCGTGCTAATAATCCGCAGCAGTTATATACGGTAGTCAACCGTAAAAGTAAGTGTCTGGGTTGTTTTTGGTTGAACATCATCCAACATTAGAACATGTGTAAAATCAGATTAATCAGTTTATTGCCCATGCGTTTTATGGGACTAGCTTTCGTGGGTTTATTCAACAGTTCTTTGAAACTGGTTGTCAGCTATTGAAACCAGGATACTTACTCAAGGTGAAGCAAGGATATTGATTGAAGCTGACCTGAGTTCTCCGTTATGAGCTAACATCTTAGCTTGTCTTTCTAATTTTTTACCGCACATATAGTTCCAGCTTGCTGGTGGTTGGACGTCGAGTGGTTCTTCGAACGTTCCTCACAACTGCACGTTTTCGGACAACAATACTATAAATTTCAGGCAAAATAGATGGCCAGATGTTTAACGAACATCGCAAGCTGCGTTGACCACGTGAACTGATTGGAAGCAGGGAAATTAACGTAAATGAACACAAAACCACTCAAATCAACACACCGAATTGTAAAGAACGGAGGCGAAATGAACTGATTTGAACTGACCTGATCTCAGCGTACATGAACTCAAATCGACTCAGTTCACCACAACTCAACCGAACAGAACTGAATTGAACAGAAATAAACTGCACTGAATTGACGTAAATGTGAATGAACTCAACCCAAATCCACGCACCAGAAGTGGAGTGAACTGAACTGAATCGATCTGAAATAAATGAACTCAAACAAAGCAAGTGTTCAGAGCGGAAATGAACTGAAGCGAACTGAACTGAACGGAACGGATCTAAACTGAACTGAAATGAATTGAACTCACCTGAACTGACCTCAATGTAAATGAACTCAACTCAGCTGGACAGAACTGAATTGAACTGAACTAAACTGCACTGAACTGATTCAAACGTGAATGAACTCAACTGAAATCTACTAAACCTGTCGTGGACTGAAATGAACTGAACTGATCTCAAAAAATGAACTCAAACAAATCAAGTGTCGAGAACGGCAATGAACAGAAGCGAACTAAACTGAACTGAACTGAACTGAACTGAACTGAAATGAACTGAACTGAACTGAACTGAACCAAAAACGTATTGGCTGACGCAGTCTACCACTTGAAAGAACTACTGGGACTGAACTAGCTTTTATAATATATTTTATGAACTGAACTGAACTGAACTGAAATGAACTGAACTGAACTGAACCTAAGTGAAGTGAAGTGAACTGAACTGAAAGGAACTGAACTGAGATGACCTGAATTGAACTGAACTCAGCTCAACTCAAAGCAGCTGAACTGAACTAACTTAAACTCAACTGAAATAAACTGAATTGAACCGATCTCAAAGTACATGAACACAAGTCAACACAAATATCCAGAACACAACTAAAAATCAGCTGAATTGAACGAAATTGATCTCAACGTAAATGAACTCAACCAAACTCAACTCACCAGAAAAACAACTGAACTTAACTGAATCGAACTGAACTGAATTGATATCATATTAATGGAACTCAATTCAAATCAAATTTTCAGAAGGGAACCGAACAGGATCGAAATGAACTGGACTGACCTGATATGAATTGAAATGAACTGAAATGTTTTGCGTTAACCATGTGGCCGCCATTCGGCCTGTGTTGTATCTTGGCGCTTCATTATTAGGTTCGTATGTATGTACTATTCCTGTCCCGGAAGTAGGTCTCCCCGTTGTGTTGCAGTGCAGTACCGTGCATGCGGTATATACGAATCTACTTCTTTGGAGTAACCTGCTTAACAATGCTGGACTAGATACATCTGTCTATGGCTTGGATTTGGTCCCGACGCATAGATCTGTTGGTGATTCTAATACAACAACTACGAGTTGGCAGTCTCTTAGTGAAGGATTGCAAAAATAGAAGATTCCAAACGGTTGCTTGCCAGTCTGTTTGTTAGACAAACTGACACCGTCCCAAGAACTTCAACTAACTATTCGATGAAGTTCTAACCTTATCCAAATTCTATGGGCCTAAGTTTGACAGCCTATCTCTAGTTCCGTGTGAGTGAACAAGCGAAAAACTGGAAATTGAGCAGTGTGTTTGAGTCAACAGGCAATCTGAAAAACGGTTTAATTGTTTCAATTAGCTGAACAATTTTCCTCTTCCTGTGCATCAATTGTGCAATCGGGCGTCACATTGATGAAGAGCCTGGGGATCTGGACGGTTTGCCTAATATTTTTCGCTTTTTACCGAATTATTTATGAGCCGCAGGTTTGAAGGAAAAACACAACCCATGTCTTGTAACGATAGCGAACACGATTTGGATCAGTTTCACTTCATATTATTTTGGCAGAATCACACAACAGGTTGCGTGTCTGTTATGAACAGACTTGTGGACGGACTCGATGAGGATTTCGTTCCCCTATGCGGCTTCGCACAACTGCATTAAATGAGCTGTGTGCTGACCAAGCTGGGGAACCTGAAGAATCTCAACTAGGAACTCAACCAAGGCATGCAAACAAAATATTCACCACGCATAAGAACGACTGAGGATCATACATTCCCAAAAACGTTTGGTGAAAACGACTATCAATGACCTCAAACAGGCTGCTGGGTGGATAATGAGGTGTATCGATGGGTGAACTGTGTACGCTGGTTGACCGTAACACGTGATTCAACATTGAATAATCATGCCGCTTAAGGGATCGGTCGCTCAGGATGTGGACAGTGGATGTCAGCTAACCAAGCCCACGTTTGTTTAATAATATCTTGAGAGCTTGAAAAAAGGCAAATGTTACAAATTATAAGTAAAGCCTTGTGAGAAGAGAGAATTGGCAACGTTGCAATGCCCTTACTGAAGCTTTTGAACGATTCTCGGGATGAACATTGGTCTATTATGCTTTGCGGATCCACTATAAATATTAAAATTGCCCCAGAATTAAATCTCTACAAAAAACAGTGTAGAAGTGCACACTATCGTCAGTCCAGATGCATGGACCCGGATGAGTACGACGGTGCAAGCAGCTGGGCATCCTTGTCCTTACAAGCAAGCTACCCACAGGTGCATCCGAACATTTCCCATCAATCCGTTCTAGAGGATACACCAGGCAGAAAGACAAAACTTCGAAACCAAGAAATCCACGGAAAGCAAAACAGAGATATTTATACGATATCTTCCGAGTTCATCAATTAAGTGGATCGCCTTGGGATCGTCTTTTCAACGCCTTGTTGCACCGGTGGTACAAGCTTGCTGTGGTTTGGACGTCGCTTTGTTCTCTAAATATTCCCAAAATATGTGCCTTGCTGAATGGAAATGCTGATAATTTTAAGCAGAATTGCACGCCAAATCTTGCTTAACTAAAATTCATAGGAGTGTTAAGCACACGGACCCTCCGTTAGACTAGTCCGTGTCAATTCCGAGGAAAATCAATCACCTGCCGTAGTTTTCGGTTCGGGCCTGCCGGTGGATCACTCATGCCAGGAAGGGCAAGTGGGCCTGCCCGGCGACCTGAACAAAAACAAACTCAACTCAACATAATTCAACTCAACTGAACATAACTGAACTGAAGCCATCTGAAATGAACTGAATTAGTATGGCCTTATCTGACCTGATCTAATGTGATCTGATCTGAACTGAACTGAACTGATCTGATCTGATCTGATCTGATCTGATCTGATCTGATCTGATCTGATCTGATCTGATCTGATCTGATCTGATCTGATCTGATCTGATCTGATCTGATCTGATCTGATCTGATCTGATCTGATCTGATCTGATCTGATCTGATCTGATCTGATCTGATCTGATCTGATCTGATCTGATCTGATCTGATCTGATCTGATCTGATCTGATCTGATCTGATCTGATCTGATCTGATCTGATCTGATCTGATCTGATCTGATCTGATCTGATCTGATCTGATCTGATCTGATCTGATCTGATCTGATCTGATCTGATCTGATCTGATCTGATCTGATCTGATCTGATCTGATCTGATCTGATCTGATCTGATCTGATCTGATCTGATCTGATCTGATCTGATCTGATCTGATCTGATCTGATCTGATCTGATCTGACGGATATCCAATAGACTATGAAGAAAAATACCTATACTGCAAGACTCTACACGTGCAAACATAACGTTGCCCAGTGGGCTTCAAGCGTGTGTCACGCTACCAATGAGTCGGGCATACAAATCACTTCCCTCAAGTGTGAATTCTTTTGCCTGTTCAGACCTGAAAATGTAGATGCGTCCAACGTGCGTTGCTGGAGAAGCCTTTACAAGCTCGTCTCGCATGTCAGTTGTCCGGGGTTCATCTCCGGCACGGCCATTGAAAGTGCGCTCCTGGTTCGCTCTAGTAAGAGCGAAACTCGATTCCAGTGTTCTTTCTTGGGTGTGGCATCACCGGGACATTTACGGAAGAAAAGAAGAATGACCGTTAAAACTAGCTTTGTGCGACTATGAACAAAAGTATAAGAAATTCCTTGCATATCTAAACAAACCACGTTGGATGTTTGGGTGGCTTCAAGAAATGGCTATAAAAATGCTGAGCCCATGACAGTTTACCTGATATCATGCGCCCGAACAACTTTTCCCCGCCACACAAACCGATTATTGCATGAAATAGCCCTACGTGGTTCAAAAAGTTACGTGTACAAGAAAAAGAAACTACAAATCCGAAGTTCACAGTTAAATTTTCGCCAAGCTGTTTCCTGTGCTTTCCCGGGTGCGGCCTCAATTAAGCCACGGGACGTCGAAAACAAACGCAACCAGGATGAGGATTTTCTGTCCGCAGCATTCAGTTGGAACCAGGGAGATCATCGAGTAACGTTTACTGTTAGCTGGTGCTCGTCAATGCTGATTGGCAGAAATGTTTTCCTAGACTACTCACTATTAAGGAAGAACTAGCCAAGATCACTTGCTTTCCCGGGTCAACGCAGATTGCTAACAAAATTCATCTTTCCGGATATCGTTTTTTGTTTGACTGGCACATCAATAAACTTTTCATGGATTTAGCTGAATATTTGAAACAGAGACTTAACACTCATACGTAGTTTGACGTCTTGAACACACGTAATCGCAACCGTTGATGAGGCAACGCACCCACTCCCGAAATACGTAGCATCTTCAGGTTAGCAGGAGATAATTTCTGTACACCGTTCAGGGTCAATGGAAGAAACCATGTTCAATCAAGAGCATAAAATGTAATCCTGGAATAATTCCAAATGCCGTCCGGCTTGTCAGCTAGACCGATAACTGTTCGCTATCTGCTTGCTTCGCAGTGCTCATGTACAGACCATCATCACACAGACCACCTGGTTGATTTGCTGTGCTCCTGTACATAGACCACCATCCACCAGTATGACAGTTTTACCGTCAGTTTCTGATCCAGCATCCGCACTTGTCCAAGAACCTAACGAAGAGCCCGATCTGAGTTGCAAATGGCGCAGTCCTTGATATTTGAAAGAACTAACAACATTTGTAATGTACTACTCATAAGGTTGTTGAAAATCCATCGACAACCCACGACCGGTTTCGCCCTTCTTCGGGCTCATCAGGTAGGCGCAGTCCCAGGGTTTTCGTCAACCTTATGTTCTACTTGAATCCAAGTTGCACGAAATTAGCGAGTATACACTCATCTGCAGACTAATTTGGTTCTTTCGAGAGACTCACCTGGAACCCAGCTGAATCTCTCGTTTTGATGTTCAAGCAGAACATAAGCTTGACGGAAACCCGGGGCCTGCGCCTACTTGATGAGCCCCAAGAAGTGCACAACCGGTCGTGGGCTGTCGATGGATTTTCAGCAACCTTATGAGTAGTACATTACAAATATACATGAATCGCAATATTTCAAATATCGTAGCGACTGAAACATGAGGCGGCCTGGTGCAGCACTTTCAGCTGCCTGAGAACATCATAAACGAGAGATTCAGCTGGGTTCCAGGTGAGTCTCTCGAAAGAACCAAATTAGTTTGCAGATGAGTGTATACTCGCTAACTGACAACATTATTATGTATGATTAAAGAAAGTCTTTTAACCACACAAACTATTGTTAACGAAGTACAAATACGTCGTTGGCCACTGATATGTAAACAAAAATGACGTTTTAGTTTGCCATGAAGAATGAATAAATGTCTGAATAGTTTAACTCAGCTAGCCAAAAACATCATGACGGCTCATTTAAAGGCGTCTGAAGGACGCAAGCTCAGAAGGGGAAATTTGACGGGCTGTGACATTTCCGCCAAATTTAGCGACAAGTGTGAATCGCGTGAAACCGAGCTCGAGTAGCCAATTATTCAATGTGAAATTACGAATTTGATGGTCTATATTGAGGTCATTCACAGGCCTTCGTTAACTGCCACTTGTCACAATTTTTGCATATTTGAAACAAACCAACTTGAGCGGCATCTTGGATGACAAAGTTGGTCGCAGCAAGTCTTGAATATGTGCAGTGTGTCACATTTTGCTGGGATGTTGAGCGTTCCTTCCAGTGAAGTGACTGGTACAATCGGTTCATAAACAAACAGCTTATTAAAATGGCATTGGAATATGGTGGGGACACTTGATTTATTTAACATATAATAGCGTAAGTAATGACTGTTGCAATAGTCAATTCGAAGTATCAAATATTGCGCCGAACACATACTGCTATTGCCCTTTCACTCTGGTGCATCTTCAGCGTACAATGACGTTGGAACCTTACAACTTGGAGACTTCCCATCGCCTGAAATAATTACAAAACAGACACCCATTAGTGCATTATCAACTAAGAGCGCGTCTTGTCCCATGCCATGAAGAACATGAAGGATGCGACTGAGTAATAAATATCACTTCCGGGACTGTTCCTCAAACACCAGTGTACACTACTCTTGAACACAGAAGCATAAATTTGAGCATCTAGGTTTGCTCATTCAGGTCAATAATGAAATTCAAATTCACACTGAATAAGCTTCTGCGGAATGTGTTATTCAGCATATCCGCCTTGCGCAGCAAAGCAGAACTTTCTCATTTGAGTGGATATTTCATCTTGTCCGTGATCAGCAGTGTGATTACCTGTGGCTTAGATAGCACACGGCGTCACTCCTCTCACAAAACCACACACCTGGCCAACCATTTACTGGCTGTTCGAGTGCGAACGTCACAGGTGGAAGCTTCAGTCATCGGGTGAATGGATTTCCCCTCTGATTTACGTGTCGTCCATTCACAGAGTTTTGCAATTTTCGTATCGTAGCAGACAAAGTTACAATGCACAACTCACCCAGCGCTATCGCTTGGTTATCCGGAAGGTGACAATGGCTAGGCTTGGATATCTAGATGACGGGACTGGCTCATTGCTCAACTTAGACTATGGAGCTGAACCCCTAATCAGGAATTTTCAACTTTGACAGTCACCAGTCAAAGATAACAAAACACTACTCTCATCTCGACAAGTACACTCACTATTCACCACAGTGTTTCTTTCCGCAAATGACTAAAGTGAATCTCTCCATGGCAATTTGCGACTGTAATTCATCACGTGACTATGAGTCGTCCTCTTTTTCACCTGCTGGCGCTGTTGATCTAGTGTACACTTTTTGCTGCCACTCTGCAAGCGAGTAAAAGTTAATGACAATGAAGGGCTATTTGAACCCGACAGATCAGCTTACGCACTTTCGAGAGGGATGCAATGTAGGCAAAACAATGGGACCAAAACCAGTGGTATGACAACCGAGATAGAGAACGACACATACCACTGGTAAACAAGTGAGCACTCCGCCGTTCCAGGACAACATGCATATTATACACATGTCAACGACTTGACGCTCTAGGGCCGTTATCATCATCGATATCGAAAACAGCGGGAAGCACTGGTGCTATACAACCATACAAGCATGCCAGGATTGTTTCCTTCCATCGCTGAACCTAATCTGGAGTGTCCTGAGATATTTTTCGACATCCAACCAATGGTTTCCTTGGTTTTTGGCCCCCGAAAGATCGTGATTGCTGAGTTTCCAGAAAGCTCCTTCATGCTTATGAACAAAATCGACGGCGATGGCGGTGTTGGTGGCGAGTAGTAAATTGCGGATTTAGATGTCCATGAAAGATTTATTACCAGTCGCACAAAACGTACCATACCATTGAAGGGAATCAATGCCGAGTACAGGGCCGGTCAGCGATATAACTGCTGAGCACGATACAAGCTAAATTAATCCAAAATTTAAACTTCCAACGTTGTTGCACCACATGTCCCACGTGTATACTAAGGTTCATGTTTGTGGATGTGCAAACCAGTTCAAGTTGACGGAACTGTTAAATACTACGTTGTTGGGTGAGCCACATAAAATATTCAATACCCGAATGACGTGCAAGACTCGGGTAGGTAAGCTGAGAAGCATACGTCTGCACCTCGCGCGAGCAAGAAGTTCCAGAAGCTCAAACCTCACCTTGAGCCGAGTGTCCACAGATATCTATAGTATTTGCTGACTCCCAAAGACACCTAAATGTCACCGGAGGATTTAGGCTTAATAAGGAAGTATGGCTCACTCATTGTGAATACACAAATTAAAAGTACAACCACTGGCTGCGGACTACCCCCGGACTACCTATCTGCAACTGACTAGTATATCTGCAATAACTGAACAATTCACATGATCTGAATCTGTAATCCAGGCATACGCGTTTGCGTTCCCTAGAAAAATATCGATTTACTTTCCCTTACAAAAAGCACCCCAGTGTTATTTATTCTCGTTGGATGACGCTGTCACAAGGACTACAGTTTTTGGCGTTAAGTCGGCAGAAAGTATAGACCGCTATGAGAGGAGCGTCAAAAAGTGAGGTTGATTATCGACGAATTGATACTGTGAATTACATTCCTTCATTGTAAGTCACGGACTGACAGAAATTGTGAAGCTGGAATAAGCTGAGAACTAGTACACTACTGAGATGGTCGTTGAAATCGCGTTGACATAACACGATGGTTTTCACGCTTCTTGGGGCCGCTCAGTAAAGCACGGTACTGGAACTTTCGCCGACCCTTATCACTTCTTGGAAACAGCCCGGAGAGAACTTGTCAAACACTTTTAGCTGGATTCGTTTGGGTCGGCACGTCAA